ATGATCCAATTGAAACATTGAAAATCAAAATGAGACAAATTTCATACTTTAAGAATCTCCAGTACAATTAACTCTAACAATTACAAATCCATTCATTTGGTGGTTACTTATAACAAGTGATGATTTTAAATCATTGACCTTTCAATTTCTTTAAGATGTCATGTTAATGTTAGCCATTTACATTATAGTGGTTTTGATATTAGTGATAAGCAAAGTCGATGTTGCATTTTAGGAGTATATCTTCATATTATGCACCTTCAACACTTTGAGTAAATATTGGGTGTAATAGTGACACTACGAAGAATTATAAAAAAACAAATAAAATTGGTGGATGTCATTATTCCATCGTGACAATTATTGGACAAGATGGTTATTGGTAGTTACTAAAACAATAGAACCTATTAAATTCACTTGGTATTCTATCACTAGTTGATGACACCACAAAACATTAAAGACGTAATGCCACCTTCTTCACGTCTCCCTTCAATTATTTTCCCCTTGTTGATCTAGAAAGAGAATAGAATAATATGAGGTTCAATTATGAAGGCATCCAAGTATGGATATGCATGTTCACAAAATATCATGTGAGGGACAAACCCTAAACACTATATGTGACGGTTGCTATTCAGAGTTATATGCAGCATGTGGGGTAGCTGCCATCTAACGTTTGCTAGACCTTTGGTGCTTAATGTGAGTTATGTTGTACCAGATTATTGACTGATATGATCCATCAATGGAGTCAAGATCATGGCATGTGACGTGGGGATAAGAGTATGCCTATTATAATGGAATATTTTTTGTCTCATTATGAGACAGTCCTTGCAAAAATGTTAAGGCCTTGCCAATTAACAAAATCAATATGCCCCCATCACAGAAACAGACACACCATAAAAGAGAGAGAGAGAGAGCTATTCTTTCTTCTTCCTCTTGCATTCAAGTGCACAAAGAAGTTCTCTCTTTTTAAAAAAAAATATTTATGGTGGCATACCTAAAATATCCGTAGTAAAATTATTTAATTTTGATATGGATATTGTTAATTTGAATTGAAAAACTAATTTTTCTACACTCGAGGAAAGAGTTGCATATATTTGGCCGTCCCCCAATCTCACAACAACGAAAATTGTTTGATGTAGTGGGTTGTCTATAACTAAGGGTCGGGTCATCATTTCAAATTGTTTTTCAAGTCTCGTAGAAATTATCAGGTAAATGAATCTGCAATGGTAAGGTTTACATTATCGTCTAGTTTACAAATTTGATTTTGGGTGAGATTTGTGTTTTGAGAGATTGTAACCTCATTTACACAAATATGACAAAAGGGATTATTGAATCAAACAGTTGTTCTTATGTTCGAACTCGTGTTTTTTACACTACAAAGCTCGAATTAATGCCTTAACCATTTACATAAGCATAGCCCTTGACTAGGTTATACAAACTATTTACCACATTTATAATGAGATTTTTTTGTTGATAGATGATATAGTTCAATCATGAGATTGGTGAGTCAGATGAATCCAAATTTAAAGCTATCATTTGAATATAGTACAACTAAAATTGAAAATTTAATTGATGGAATAATAATAGGATATTTGAATGTGATATATATCCTAATTCAATTAGTCCCGTCCAAAGGAATGTAATTATGTAACGTTGAAATTTAGCTAGAGGATACAAAAGGGAGAATTCAGGACAAAGCTTACGGGACCTATTGTTTAAGGTTTTGAAAGCGACTAACCAAACGCAAAGTAGATCGGAAGTTTATTGTTTGACAAAAGTAGTGTTAGCTAAGTAAAAATAAATAAGTTTCAAATTAGCCTCTTGGACTAAACCGACCTTATTAATATCTTATAACTATCATGAAAATTGAAATGACAGAGAAAGATATGCACTTTCTAAACATGAAATTTACAATATTTTCGAGAAAAATGTTCCTTTTCCCCTTTTTTTTTGTTGACTGAGAATGTCCCTTTTGCCCATATTATTTATAGTCAATAAATTCTTTTTTTTTTTTTAAAAAAGGAAGATCAAACTCGACGCATCGAATCAACCCAATAAATCTCACTTCAATTTCTACTCTTGTGCCAAACTCAACACCTCAACCCCTATCCTTTAGATTCATAATCTAGCATTCTTGATTAGAACAACTCCATTGCCCCTCCCCACCCCGACCTCAACTAAATAGTCTTAAAGACGGAGGTGACAGAAAGAAGTGACATTTGGAAGTGTTGCTACCCCTCCACTCCCCTCTTTCCCTACGGTCCCTCCTCGGAACTCATAGTCCTCTCGTGCCCCACCACCATTTCAACCAAACTCTTATTCAATCTATCCAAAATATATGTATACACATAAACGTATATAAACATATGGATCCACATATATACGAATATGAATGTACATATATAAATGTAATTATATAGTATATGTTTGAAGTGAGATATATGGCAAGTTATGCTGATATGAATGTGGACATAATAGTGTCATGAGGCATGGGGAATCCAAACAAACATCCAAATCCTTCAATAATATTTTTACTATGCCAGAAAATGATGAGATTGGCAGATCTGATCCCTTTGAATAATTTAACCCAACGTTTATTATGACATGGCCCATTATAATTTCTATTGTCTTACATCCTTGGTATTAGTTTAATAGCATCCCCCCATGTGGAACATTGGGATCTAAAGAGGATAATCGTGGCTGTGTCTTTGTCCTTGGGGTAGGCTGTGACTGTGAGTACGTGATATTGAACAAGTTGTGTAAGCTGTAATAATATAAAACTAGGGTTGGCTACATTGTTTTTCTTATCACTCTCCTACTAAGAAAATGGTTACAGTTGTTTAATTTTATATATGTTTATATTTGGTGGTTGGGGTGGACACATTCACTAAACTATGAGGTTGCACAACATGTTCATCTTTTACATTTAGGGTATTTTTCCATACAAATCTTAATGTTCACAACAACCTCTCGTAATCTCGTCTCCTTTCTCCAAACCACTTGATAGACCAACTCGCACCACCAATCTCTCTGTTTGTGTTGTGGTGGTTTTGTTATTCGGTGGTTATTGATTGACAAATAAAAGAGATACGATATATTGAAATATTTGTAGACTAAACTAAAAAGTTTAGAAGGTGCAATCAAAAAATATATAGGTCAATATATAAGCCTATGACTTGTGGTGGGCATCTTGAAGACTAGAACACTAAAAAAGGACGGGTAAGACTATGGTAATTAAAAGTAATTTGGTCTCACATAAAAAAAAAATTAATTTTCAGTCATATATTTTTTATTAATTTATTTTTAGTCATTGATCATAAAAATAAATAATGAAATGAAATGAAAAATTTTACATGTATTACACCGGTTGAACAAAATATAAATAGGATTATCGAAAGAGTAATACTTTGAGAATCTGAAAAATTAACCTAATTTGTTAATATAATGATTATAAGTGACATAGTTTAATAGTGATGTGGTGAAAGTAATTATTAAATTTTCTTATTAAAATAATTTATTTAAACTTAATTTGTTGACCCTTCACCTATAACCATTCCAATATTTTGTGGCGAAGTATAAGACTCCTTCATTTGAGCAATGCATCTAATTTAATAGTTGTGTTGGATTAGCCAATAAATTGTCATTAAATTAGGTATAAATAGTATTATTATCTAAATTAGGATTCTATTACTTGCCTAATAATGTTATTAGGATTTAAAAATTTAACATAATTTATTAATTTAATGATATGACATGCACTCTATCACTTGATACAATCATTGAATTAGATCAATTTTTTTAGCTCTTAATAATATTACTTTTATTTAAGATATTATTATATCAATAAAGTAGAACACTTTTTTGAATGTCCATAACATTTTATGATCAAAATTTCATTTTAATACATTGTTTTAGTCATCTAAAAAAACGTTTCGAAATTTTTTTGACTTGTTTCTAAATAAAATCAAAACGAATAAAAATTTAAGAATTATTTTTTTTAAATATTAGTCAAAATATATCAAAACATCTTGAAACACCTTAAATTATTTCAAAATAATTGTATAAATACGTCAAAACATTACTAACATATCTCGAAATATTATGAAACATATCAAAATATTTAAATTTTGATGGCATTACTAATTTATTTTAATTTTTAAAAAATAAAAATGATTTGATTATTTTGACCAAAAAGAAATTTATCATCATAACATACCAAAAAGAAATTTATCATCATAACATTACTCTCACCTAAAACTCAATGGGTTCGTTTGGTTGGCGTATTAGAAATGAATGGATTAGATAAAATAATTCGGTCTAATACAATACAGAAAGACAAAAGACAAAATTAAATATAGTATTAAAATAATACATAATTTTATCTAGTGTTTGGTGAGACACAACATAAATGTTAGATAGTAATTATTTAATCTAATCGGTTGTTTGGTTAAGGAATTATTTTATCGTATTAATGTTGAATTAACAAAAATAACCTCAATCAGTATTTGTTATATTGATGACAATTTGATTTTATCAGTTAGAGGAGTATAATGATAAATGTGCAAAATAATACATTTGAGTTGGATTATAATATCATCTCTTTTGATGGTATTAAAATATCTTCATAATACAAATCTAACGTATAAAAAATATATGATAAGTATATATTTTTGAAATTAATACGGTATCAAATTTAATTATCAAACAAAATATTATATTCAATTAAATAAAAAATAATATAATTTAATATTTAATCGCCTCATAATACGATTATGAAACGAGCCCAAGTTTTCTCAGCGGACCCGAAAGTACAGGCAAGTCCGTATAAATAGCCATTAAAAGCTCCAATTAAAAGCTCTAAGTTGCATTACAACCAACTAGACAGAACTCTCTCTCTCTTCTGTTCTGTTCTGTTCTCTGTCAGCAAGAGCTGTTTGTTCTACTTGTACTGGATAGAGAAAGCCGAACTCTTAGGTAGTTTCCGAAGGTCCTCACTCTCTTCAAAGTTCTGTACCTCTTAACTGAACCGAAACCCACAAAGGCCGAAACTCCTCGCTTTCAGAGCTCAAAGATAGTACGTCTCTCTCCCTCTCTCTCTCTCTACATGCATATGAATGCATAGATATTCTCGGGTCTAAGTCTAAAATTCCATTCTTAACAGTTCAAATCCACTCTAAAAACTGCGCAAAATTTACGTTTATGTAGATTCTGTGCAATTTTCTTAATATTGCTTTCATTATAGGTCGTTATTTCACACACCCACAAACCATATATGGATGGATATGTATATATATATTTTGTTTATCTTCTGATGTTGTACAAGATCTTTGCAATGAAATTTCTTTTGGTATAACTGTTGACAAAGATGTAACTTTGATTGAAGTTGTAAGGAATTTGAAGAGGGTGTTTTTTAGGAGAGATATTGGAGAAAATGAAGAATTCAGTATCGGAAGAGAGGTTTTACATTGAGAGTAGTGAAGATGAGGATGAAGAGAAGGCGTTTGACAAAGGTGAAGATGATAGCAATGATTCAGACGATTCGATTTATTCGAACGACAATCGTGAAAATCAGCAGCAGAGCAAACCCAATTCCTATAACACCTCTTGGCCTCAAAGTTACAGGTATATGTAACCGTATCTCTCTCTCTCTCTCTCTGTGTTTGTGTGTATCATTTCTGTTCTTGCAGTATTTCATCAGGTGATTTGAGAGCTGTGTTGTTTTTGAAAGTAACATGCGCTTTGTATATATCTAGTTATAGTAAATTTAAGTGAGACCCATTGTTTATAAGCGAATCTCTTACGATTAATGGTGGATGATATGGTAAAAAAGAAAATAGAGAAAACAAGTATTGGAGGAGATATGAAATAGGTGTTTATGACCCTAAACTTTCTTGTTCTGTTTGGTTCTATCCTAAAAAAATGTTGAATCTTTCCTCCTCAATCCAAATTAACCATCATGATTGTTATCATATCATTGTAGTAATTGATCATTATTTTCACTGATCTCATTGCATTTTCTACACCTATTTCATGCAACACTAAAATTGCTACATACCAAATTTGAATTACAAAAATAGAATTTTTTACACTCGGTAAAACTGCATATATTTAACTTACCCTTGATCTTGTAAGCTAGCGACCAAAATCTCATGCATTGGATTGTTATTTACTACCAACTATCTTGCTCATCTTCAATTACAAATAATTTTGCAGACTGTCCATAAATGACTACACGGTAACGAATTTACGAGAAATTATTGGGAAAAGAAAAGTTAGAATTTCTGTTCCAAAATAGCTAACATTTTTGAATTAATATTTCAGGCAGTCGATTGATCTGTATAGCAGTGTACCATCACCAAGCATAAACTTTCTGGGCACTCCTACACTATCAAGACTAGGCAGTTCATTTCTGTCATCATCATTTACAAGGAGACACACTCCTGAGATACTATCAAATTTGGTGAAGCCTCTGTTACCAACAGCAGAAAATGAACAACAACAGCCACAGCCACAGCAAAGGCGTAGCTCTCACTCTCTTCTCCCTCCTATTCCTTCAAAGAGGCCTCTTGGTAAGAAAGTGGGTACTGATCAGAAACTCTCCAAGGTCTCCCATGGCCATGAGCTTCCTGCTTCTCGCCAGAGTTCCTACGGCCAAGCTGTTTTAAACGGTATGATACATGACCCAAACTTTATTCTTTGATCGGTGGTAGAAAGTTTTGGATATATATATTTTTTTTTAATTTTTAAAATTTAAATTACCCACTATCGATAATTGAAGAAAAAATGTAATTGATGAATCTAGATCATTTTTTATTAGAATTTGCTCTTAGGATGTTGTTAAAGTGATGGCAATTAGGTCGATGTCATGTTCGAGTGTGTCATATTAGATTTGCATCGACTAATAGTCATTGCTAATCTTAGTATTTAGTTAGTCGTGTCATTTATTTCTTGTGTTATACTTGAATTGACCCAGAGGACAAAATACAAATTAAAATTAAGATCATTTTCCTCTCAACTAATCCCCACCCATATACCCTATAAACTTAAAATTAACTAGGTCTTTATGCATGCGATTAAGAAACACAAATTAATTTAAAACCAAATATTTTTTTTCTTTAATATTAGATGAATTAGTTTGTCGTATTAAAATCGAGTTTTTCATAAGTGTGTCTTTTTGATTGTTCAGCCGCCTCCTAGAAAATGAACTTAAAAAAGGCTGTTTTTAGGGACCACAACAATGACCATTGGTCTAGAAAAATAACTAGAGATAGAGTTGAAAATATACTTTTAATAAATTCAGCATATGGTTCTTCTTAGTGTTTTTATTCGGCGATGATTGTGTTTTGTCTCAAGTTCTGACTTTAATGACGTGTTTGTCTAGGAAAATTACAATTTATAATACCCTAAACTTCGGCTTTAATCACATTTATCCATTCTGTTCAAAATTGAAGGTTCAAGCCAATGTGAATTTCTATTAAGTTTTTAACTCAAAACAAATATTTTGATTCTTTTAAAGATTTATATATCTTTCTTTATGCTTATCTATTGCTCAATGTTGTGGTGGCTTATGACTTGTAAAAACTATTTTCACTATCAAACAAAAACATTGTGTCTCATTTGAGCCACAACTTGTTCACCGAGTTCATACAACACATGGGTGCACATGAAAAGACCAAATAACCAACAAATATGCCCGTGCTTTCCGCAGCTTAGGTTGCTACAGAGAATACATTCAAGTTCTTACCATATTTGAGTGAGAGAGAGAGAGTTGAACTGAGGTGGGATAGAATAATAGACATAGCTCCCAATGATAATTTCATTAATTTTTGTTTTTATTTTTATCTTTTTTAGGATAAGATTACGGCCCTAAAAAATTCTTTCAATACCCAAGTTATAAATGATGAGATTTAGCTTCGTTTTGTTAAAGTTACACTAAAATAAGATTGTTTGACATTTATGATTTATTTTAATATTAGGATTGATTGAATATTTTTAAAATCTATTATAATATCTTAAAATTTATGCTGATTTTTGTTATCATAATCGTTGGAGGATTGGTGTCATTACTCTTTTTTCAATGGTTACCATCCAAGATGGAAAACTCATTTATATTAGTGATACCATCTTAATTGGTTAATACTAGAAAAATATTTAGTAGGAGATCCAAATTCAATTTCAAATCTCTCTTTTTCCAGTTAGGACTGATAATTTTACCAATTTTTACGAGTTCGAACCAAGTTTGTCGAGTTTGTTTTTTTAAACAAGTTTAAAAAATTATACAAGTTCGACTGGTTGAAAAAATAAGTCGAGTTTCAGTAGGACGATTATTTTATATAAAAATGAGCCGAGTCAAACAATCCTAAAAAATTATTCAAATTTAATTCATTTAGAATACGAGTCAACCTCAAATCGAGTGTAATTTACACTTAGATCAAACCTGAGTAATTCGGCTCAATTACCAGTTCTATCCTAACAAACTTGTACTGGATGACCATGTGAGCCAAGTATCTGATTACAAAAGAGTAAACTGATTCCAATTCCAACAAAATAACAGTGTTCTTACTATGGGTTTATGCAGGAATGAATGTTCTATGTGGGGTAGGAATTCTTTCTACTCCATATGCTGTCAAACAAGGAGGATGGGTTGGCCTTTCTATACTCTTCATCTTTGCAGCGCTTTCTTACTACACAGGTATACTCTTGCGTATTTGCTTGGATAGCCAGCCCGGGCTTGAGACTTACCCAGACATAGGCCAGGCTGCATTTGGCACTGTGGGACGCTTGGCCATCTCTGTAAGTCTGGCCCATTTTGAAAATGCTTAGATTATGTTTGTTGGAATGCCTCAAAGACTTTGACCCTTTATTTAAGAGAGTTTATCTAAAGTATGACTGGTTGCTGACTCCCTCTTTGTTTCTTCTTTTGTTTTCTGTGGGTGCAGATTATCTTGTACGTGGAATTATATGTAAGTACAGCTGGCTTTACTGTGAGTTTTTTTGTTTTGGAAAATGCTATTTAGATCTTATTTAGGAAACTAATGATGCACAATTATTGGATTGGTTGTGGATTTCATCTAACATTAGAACTCACAATTACTTCAATGACCGTACTAAAAATCGCATCATTAGGTCCCACATAAGGTCCTAATAGCATTGCTCTTTTG